CGTACAGTGGCTAGATCTTGATGATTATCATCATTAGTCTTCAGATAGGAGTCTATTGAACGTACAGTGGCTAGATCTTGATGATTATCATCATTAGTCTTCAGATAGGAGTCTATGGAACGTACAGTGGCTAGATCTTGATGATTATCATCATTATCCTTCACATAGGAGTCTATTGAAAGTACAGTGGCTAGATCCTGATTATTATCATCATTATCCTTCACATAGGAGTCTATTGAAGGTACAGTGGCTAGATCCTGATGATTATCATCATTAGTCTTCAGATAGGAGTCTGTGGAACGTACAGTGGCTAGATCTTGATGATTATCATCATTAGTCTTCAGATAGGAGTCTGTGGAGGGTACAGTGGCTAGATCTTGATGATTATCATCAATGTCTGTCACTTCTAATTCGGAGACTCTACTAGCGCAGATATCCCTTGTGTACCTTTGCTCAAATCTTAGAAATAAACAAACAATCTGTGTGAAAGTTATACTTACGGACTTACAACGATAAAATTTGAGGTTTGATTCGCTGTGGTGGACAGTACACCCATAGCTTTACACTAAAACAACAAACAATAAATCAAGAAACAAAACAGTTATTGTTGTTGGTTGGGTTTTTCAGAGCAAAGCCACATCAGGTAATCTGCTGTCTTCAATCGAACCCCGGATTTTGCCGTTGTAAGTCCGTAAACTAACCACTGTCACACCGGAGTACAAAACAAGAGAGAAATAAAATAAGTTTGAAAGAATGGAAAGTTTAACTATCGTAGTTATAGTTTTCCTTAATGTGGCTAAGTTATATATTAGCACTATTTTAAGCTAAGGTTCTTGATTTTTGGTTTGTTTATTTTAGCTCAGAGTTACACAATATGCTGTTTGAGCTCGATTCACGATAAGGTATCGAACCGCAGATTTTAGCGTTGTAAGTCGGTAAACTTAGACATTGAACACTAACAACTTTCGATAAAAGTTAAATATAAACAACCAGGATAAGCATACGAGATTTTATTCTACGCTCGATACACAGAAAACTGTCGGCCATTTTGATTTATGTAATTGTTTGTTCTATTTACATGAAAAGTCTATTTTCATTATATTTAGTTATTTTGTTTATTTTCAGCGCATTTAATGGATTTTCTGCTCACTCTTGGCTTCTGCTTCTTCTACTCGCCATTTTCATTCCCTTGTTGAACTCTTACGTAGAAAGTCATATTCAGATTCATCAGGATCTAGCCACTGTACTTTCAAGAGACTCCTATCTGAAGACTAAAGAGGAAAGACAGCTAGTCAACAGT